AAATCATGAAGTTTAAAACTGTAGATGAAGTTATCAGGAGAGCAAACAATACTTCATATGGTTTAGCAGCAGCAGTTTTTACCAAAGACATTGATAAAGCATTGACCTTTGCAAGTGCTCTTCAAGCTGGAACTGTGTGGTATGTAAAAATATATTTATTCTTCATTATAAGTAGTCTTTGGGAATAATAGAGGGATAGTCTAAGTGTCTTCATTGCATAGCTTCTTATACACACTTATTTCCTTCTGAATCTTTGTCATTTACATGGAGCACAAAAGATTTAAGTTCCAAAATATCTAATATGCTATTATGTAGCGTTTCTTCTGACCCTGAAAGTCAGAAAATGCAGGTGATCTCGTTAAAAGGAGAAAAGAAAAATGTAACTGCAATCAGCCAAGTTCTCTCCATTCCCAATACTGTGGTCTCCCACTATCATCCCAATTCATAAGACTCAGTAGGTGAGTCTACATGTTGCCACATGGTGATGTTGCTACGGCACCATGATTTAACTTTAGTACTTTGGAAATACTAAAGCATGGAGCAGTAACTGTCCATACTGTGCCATTAGATTTCACTGCTATGGCACCATAGCAGTGTCATAAAATGGGGGTGCACACCACTACATTGATGTAGCTGCCGACCCATGTGATTGTTACGTCTCCAGAGCTACTGTACAGCGAAGTAGTGCATCACTACATTGATGTGTAGATGCTCCTAGTTATATGTACTGCCTAAAGAAATCATAGGTGCATCTACATATGTATTTACTATGGTGTAAAATAATCCAGAGTACGCATTTTTGGGCTGGTATCTACACATGCAAGGATTAGGGAGCAGATTTTCACCCAGTTCTCTGCAGCTATACAATGGGCCCCTGCTGCCACTAGGGAGAGCTCCAGGCTCCCCCCAGGTGCTAGCCTAGGGGCTGGCAGGGAGTACCAGGTCAGGAGGCAGCTGTCTCCTGGCCCCGGGGGGCTGTCTGCTGCTGGGGCAAGGACAACGTCCCCCTGCCCCAGTAGCAGTGAGCTCCTAGCCCTGGCTTCCCAATCAGGGGAAGGGGACTTAGAGAGCTAAAGAGGAGGGGCAGGTCCCAGCCCCCTGCCCTGAACTGCTGATGGAGCAGCTAGCAGTAAGCTCACTGCTAGCTGCCCCATCAACAGATCAGGGGAGGGGGCTCAGACCTAGCTCTTTCCAAGCCCTGTGCCTTGATCACCCAATTGGGGCATGGGAGTTCCTAGCTCCCACCCTGCACAGTGGGAAGAAGCTGGGTAGCTTGTTCCCCACCCAGCTCCATGAGCTGGTGCGGGGAACACGCTGGGGGGCTTGTTGCCTGCCCAGCTCCATGAGCGTAGAGCTGAAATGGAAACAAGCTCCCCAGCCTGTTACCTGCCCTTGCAGAGCTTATTGGGGAACATGCTCCCCTACCCCAGTCAGCAGGGAGCTCCCTGCACTGCTTTGGGACATCAGGGCCTGTGCTGGGAGATCCTTATTTCCAAGCCTGAGCTCCACAGTCATGGGGCTTGGGCTGGGAGACTCTTATCTCCCAGCATGAGCTCTACGGTCACAGGGCTCAGGCTGAGAGACCCTTATCTTATCTATCTTTGAAGAGGTTCTGGAGTTGTTGGCTTGCAGGGAGTTGGAAGCAAATGGAAGGAAAGGGTGAGAGAAACCTAACTGCCAGCTATGAGCCAACCATGACTAGCAGGCATACTGACAGTGGCCCTGGTGCACCAGTAAAATGGCATATTATGTGAAATAATTTTGAAAACTCCCAAAAATGGCATTATTTTGTGTTATAATTTAAACAGCACACCCCCCCACCCCACCCCCCCCCCCCCCCCCCGGTTTGGCTCAACAATACATTATATGGTTTTTGATAACTCAAACAAAAGGTGGGGAGTTTGACTTAAGAATTGTTTTCCCACTGAAAAAAAGATTTAAAACTGTATAACTACAACTATTCACACCTTATAGAGATAACTATGTATCCAGTGTTCTGAAACTAATTACATTTAAAGGGAAGATAAATAAAGAAATAAATACACCATTTGTTTCCATTAAACAAATGTTTGTGTAGAAATCTCTTGTTGCCAGTGAATCCAGGGAATAGTTTAAGGGCCTTCATTGGATGAAAACAGGGGCCCTTTAAGTGAGAGAGAAGAGATTCAGAACATATGGAAATGGAGAACAATTCAAAATACTAGAGAACTATTGGCTAATGAAAAGGGCCATTCTGTCCAAACCACTAATACTAATTTCCAGTTTAAATTTCTGTTATATTAAACAGTCATTTATCATAAATAACAAACATATCTAAAGAAGTTTATTACCCTCAGTGACAAACAGCATATGGGATTGGAACTATCGAGCAGAATCCCACAGTATGGCCTGGGTAAACAGTGAAAGGAAACTATTTTATTTCTGGGAAGAAACCTGAAAAAAGTGTCTGAGAAAAAACCTAAAAAGACTTTTTTTTGAGCTCTGTCATTGGAACAATAAATTTATGGGTCTTTCAAAAACAGTAACAGAAGGGATTTTTATTATATTTATCAGTTACAAAGATAGAATGACTACTATTCTGAAGATCCCTAACTATATTATAAATCCGTGGTAGCACACAGATGGTATCTAATAGTGTAAATGCGAATAACATTGCTTTGCTGAACTGAGAACTATATACATGGTTAAATATTTAAATATTTTGCTAAAAAACCATAGCTGGTAGAAATCACCATATCTCTATGGAAATCAAAGAAATAACATGGATTTTCATAAGGTAAGAAGTTATGCCATGATGTTCAAAGTCATCTTTTCATTTTTCTTTTTTCAGGGTTAACTGTTATAGTGCACTGTCTGCTCAATGTCCTTTTGGAGGATTTAAAATGTCAGGAAATGGACGAGAAATGTAAGTAAAATAGCCTGAGATTTTATATACATGCACGCACGCGCGCACACACACACACACACACACACACACATATATAGAGTCATAGAGAAGTAGGGCTGGAAGGGACCTCCAGAGGTCATCTAGTCCAACCTTCTGCCTGAGGCAGGATCATCCCTATCCAAACCATGCCATACAACCATAATTTAAACTCTACATAAGATTATCCTCAACCCTGAACATTTGAGGTTTGGTTCATTTTCAGTTTGGGTCACTTCTTTTATCTGAACTGGCTTATTCATCACTAGTCTTAATATTAGTAAGTGAGCCATATAAATGAGTAATATAGTGAAGGAAATCACATGATGTAAGCTTGTTCCATGAAATAACATTATACCTTCTGATTTTTTAAAAGTGAATTGAGAGCAGCCATTTGCCAGTTTCTAAAGAGGTATAACTTTCTCACTACAAAGGTAGTAAAGCACTGGACAAGTTACCCAGAGCGGTTTTGGAATCTCCATCCTTGGAGGCTTTTCAGACCCAGCTAGACAAAGCCTTGGGTAGGATGATCTAGTTGGGGGTGGTCCTGCTTTGAGCAGAGGGTTAGACTAGATGAGCTACTAAGGTCCCTTCTAACCCTCCTTTTCTGTGAATTTATTATTCTATAAAACAGCAAAGTTTCATCTGTATGAATTTGTTAACTGACTATATCATAAAATATAATAGAGGGGTATAGGGCATCCAGGAACTTGGCACTAGTACAGATATCTAACAGAAATCTGGATCATAAAAAAGGAAGCATTGCAGGAGAAAACTAATTTTAATGTCAAACATTTTATTAAACATCATTTGGAAAAAGACATTTTTAACACTGAAGAAAATGCATGAGAAAAATCTGCTGAGTAACAAGAAAGGAAATGTATCAGGTCCCATAAACTTTCACAAACTTTAACAGAAAGCTGCATAAGTAACCATTACAATGGCTATTATCCCATTTTGCTGCCACAATGTAAATTACTGACTGCTAGAATTAACAAGATGCCTCTTTGAAGGAGTTGGAAAAAAACCCAGGAAAAGATTTCTCTGTGTCCTAATAGTTGATAAGCCTGTTTTTTCTCATATTCAAATCTAGCAAATTGGCTGTGAGAGGCAACATGCATATCACAGTGAAGCTTACTGTGCTAAAAACAATTAAATGTCTAAACACCTTGCATATGTTTTTACAAAAAAATATTATAAACTATCTAAGTACGCAGGCAATTCTGATTTCATAGTGTGAAGTTTAAAGGGCTACTGTGATATACTAGGGATTAGTCAGACTTGAAATTTCTTGACTAATTTAAAGTTTTTATGATCAGCTTATTATTAATAGAGTTGGGGCCGTGAATTGATGTTGTGACCATGATGGTCCAAGAAGCATGCACAAGACAAGGATTTTTGTAGGCAATATCTTTTATTGTTTCAACTGCGTGGCAGGGATAGACTTAGACAAGCTTTTGACAAGCTTCAATGTTGGAGAAGACATGAAGAAGAATGCACTGTATTCAAAAGCTTGTCTCAGTCTATCCCAACAATGCAGTTGGTCAAATAAAAAATATTACCCACAAAAATCCTTATTTCTTGCATGTTTTCTGGACCATCTTGGCCTTGACAACCCAGTTCTATTACCCACAAAAATCCCTGCTTCTTGCTTATTGTGTTGTCTACATAAGACTTGAGAGCAAACACTTTGAGTCTTGAGGCCTTGTTACACGGTGATTTTGGGCAGCTCTTGGAACTCTTAGCACCTGGAGTGTCTGCACATTAACACCTGAAACTGGTTTTAAGCACTCATATGCCTCTCCAGGACAGGATTATTTCTGATCCATGCTTCCCAACTTGTGTTACGCTAAGGTTTAGCCGCTCTAGGATACACCTTAATGCAAACAACCACTCCCCTCCCCCACATCTGCTGCCCTTGATGTGGCCCACTGCTCCCCCTGCCCTCCCCAGCACCCCAGATCACCACTCATGGCCCCCTTCCCCTCCCCCTGCTCACTTATTTGTGGCTGTTCACACTATCTGTCTCAAAGGAGCAGGCAGAGAAGGGTTAATCTGTCTGCCTGGACACTGCTGCTGCTGCTTTGTAGGTAGGCTCAGCCCCTAAAACAGTAGCATCTGCCAGCAGCAACTAGGAAGGCAGATTAACCCTTCCCTGTCTGCTCCCTATGGCCAGACAGCTGGGCAGCTACAAGTTGGTAGGGGCAGGGAGGTTGGGGGGAAACCCCAAGGAGCAGGTGGGGAGCCCTGTGGGGCGGGGAGGGGGGGTGGGGAAGAGGGTAGCAGGGAAGCTCAGAATGGAAGGGGCTAATATTCTTGCCTTTCAGTCCTTCAGGCTCTTGCTAGCCTGAAGTGTGACTGCTCCAAACTCAAGCTAGCACTAACGCCAATCAACATATGTGCAGCTCACAGTATGAAGTATAACAAGGCTCTTAGGAAAAGTCAATCACTTCCATACTGTAAGGCAGAGGTAATTAGCTGTGTTAGTCTGAAGTCAGGAATGATATACTAAATTTTCAAAAGTTTTAGAAAGCATTTCCAGGTTGACAGTTTTGTAGCGGCAACATTTTTTTCTGTCATTTGGCACATTTGTTGTCATTCGGCGTGTGTAGATGAAATGAGGGCCCTAAATTGAAGCACTGGCTTTTTAAAAACACCACTTCAGTTTTGGGCCGATTAAACCCCTGTGTTGTGCGCACACACAATTGACTTACCTGCCTGTCTGGCGGCGGGGAGGGGAAAGCAAGCTGCCAGTGGGTGAAGCGGTCTCTGGACTGCGGTGGCAAGGCTTGTACTTCCCTCAACAGCAACAGTGGGCCCCACCCAGGTAGCACCCACCCACAGGCACCTGGCTTGAGTGAGTAGGAGGGAAGTACCAGCCCCCTGCACAGCTCAGGCAGCTGGCAGGCTCCGGGGGTAGGGATGGGCTATCAGGTTTACCACTTTTCTTGGGTGGAACCTGCCTTCCCGGGCTGCTGCCAGGCTGCCTGCAGGGCTTCCTACAGAGCAGCAAAGCTGCACAGAGCTGCGCCCCAAGTCATTTAAGGCTCATTACACTGCCAAATTTCCTACAGTGGCTGGAATTAATGTGCAATACACCGCCAAGAGGAGCAAACACTGACACCATTAAAGCGGTGCAAAATCATTTAGCCCACTTTAAAGTGCCGTGCACACACGCCCCTCATTTCATCTACACATGGCCATTCACTATAACATTTTGCTGTGTAGATTAAAGCCTAGATTTGGAGGCTTAGAAATTTAATTTAGAGACATGTTAAATTGACTTAATAACAATGGATGCCTATAGACATGGGGGAGGTTGCTCTGATGTGCTGTAATTACAGTAAGTTGGAGCAGACTCAATTAATTGCCCAATTAATTGAGTCTGCTGGAGTGTGCTAATTAGAGTGCCTCCAGCAGCCTCCTTATCTCACATATAAGCAGCATCCCCATGCTTCAAAATGGCGATGGTGTTTTAACTAAAGCCCGTTCAACATGAGGGGATGCTGATACACAAGCCTCTGTGAGAGGTTTAATTAGAGCTGCCAGAGCAGTGCCTCCACCCCCAGAACACGTGTAAAAATGTCCAGTGTTTAATGCCAAAAAAGAAAGTTTATTAACACATGTTTCTTGGGAAGCCACTGCTTTTCATTTTGTAGTATGGCTACACTGTATAAAAGACTTCAGAAAAAGACAAGAAAACTAAAACTTACATACAATATTAAAGCAAAAGTCTTCTGAAATATCGCTCATTTAATATCATTGCAATAAGCATTGTTGTTGTTTCTTATCTAGGGGAGAATATGGCCTTCATGAATATACAGAAGTTAAGACTGTCACGATTAAAATTCCAGAGAAGAATTCATAATGATGTTTCAGCTGCAGAATTTAGTAGCTCCCAATGCTAAGAAAATCTACGAAGTCCAACTGTGTTGTGAAAAGTTTTATATCCCAAGTTATTCTTTTTTCTTTCTGTTTGTAAAAGATGCATTTGCTTACATTAACATTATAAAGAACAATGTAGAAACCTTAAATATAATTGACCAAGAAAGGAAATTTTAAACATCTAGTGTGTTGCTAACAAATTTTGAAATTCCCATTGAGAAAGGACTAATTTTTATTCTATAGTGCTATGAAAATCTACTTTTTCATAATGCATACTACTTGTACAGTAAGGTTTAGCATGTTCTTCTAAATGGTAAACAGTAAGTTGCCTTTACATTTTTTTCTCTTTGAAACCTTAAAAAAGCACTTATAAGTACCTCTTGGTAGATGCTCTTCTCTGTGTCTTTAGAAAATTATTAATTTCTTCTACATACTTTTCTGATAATGTTGAATTTGTCCCTTATGTTAAGTACTGCATAAAAGTAATTTGGATGTAGACCTTATTAAAATCCATCTTAAAACCTGATAATGTTTTTTTCATTGGTATTTTAGCATGCATTAGTTTTCACTGGACACACTGTACAATACATTTTGTACGTTTTGGAATGAAAAGCAGTCTCTATTCATTGTGTTTGTCATTAAAACATATTAAATTGGCTGTAGGAAAATGAAACATCCTAATTCTTTGAAAGTGTCTTTTACAGAAGAAGACTGAAGCACGGACATAAGGTTCTAGGCGAATGTACAGAGCTGGATCTTCATTATAACAGTGATAAGTCTGGCATAAAATCTTAGATAAGAAGCAGAAGCAGTAGTTCTTTGGTATAGCACAGATGTATTATAGCCTTCCTGCTATTCCACTCCTTTGCATGTACACACATGTGCGCACACGCACACACACCAGTGTTTTCCTTCTGCTGTTCTCCCTAAATCTCTTATTTCACTGTTTACCATCATCTTCTCGCAAAACCTCCTTGTTATTCTTCATCCCTCCCCCCCCCCGCCGCCCCCAACCTCAATCTCCCTTAAACAAAACCTGTTATGAGGCTTGTGTATATCTTAGGATGTCCTTATACTCTGTGATTTCAACGTTTGGATACACTCACAGTATATCTCTGTCCACTCCCTCCTGCTTCAGGCTTCCTATAGCAACAATCAGTGAAAAATGGTGTAGTGCAATGAGGCACAGCACACTGTAGCCATTCCCACCTTTTGCCAGAGATGCTAATGTTCTTAGGCACCACTGAAGTCTAGATCCAAAGCAGCTCTCCTGGCTGTCCCTTCCCCACATCAGCTCTACACAATATACTCTCTCCATTAGTATGAATATCACACATTAATAATTATTAAGCAACAAATATGTAGAGAGGATCTTGTTGATAATTTTGATAGATTTGTCATCCTTAAGTAGGAAGAGGTCTAAACCAAAGCCTCAGCTTCATATCTAGCCCCTTCTCCAGGCACAAGCAGCTTTGGATTTAGGGAAGTTATTGCCTGGATCCACACTTTGTGGCATGAAGAGCCAGTATCTGTTTTATAAGGTGACACCACCAAAATCCCTAACTCATGCTCTAAAACAACCTTATATCCCCATTTGGAGAATAAGCAGAATCCACAGACCAGTTGCCATCTCAAGGAAAACTAGGAGGATTATAAAGAAAGAGGGGCAAAAAGAATGGGGTACAAAGGCAGTGCAGTAATGGTAAGTGAGTGGGGTAGGAGGGAGTGGGGTAGGAAACAAAGTAGAAAATACAGTTTAAAGAAATATTATGAGTTGGGGAAAGATGAAAATAGAGCAAGACACAACGCTGACAAAATTGTGGAAAAAATATTATTGGAAGAAGCATAGATACTGGAAGGAACAAAACATTCAGTAAGGAATGTAAAGCAGCATGGAGACTAGGGATGGAATTTTATGATGCTCAAATTGCTGTATTTTAGCTCCCACTGATATCAATGGAAAAAGCTGGAGCAGAGTTAAGGCAATGGGAGTGTTTTAAAAATGTTATCCTCAGGAGAGAAATACAAAAGGAACTAAGGAGACTTAGAATGGTCCAGATGTTGTCCTTCAAGATGCATGTGTCTCTCTCCTTGCCTACAATTTTTAAAAATTATTGTGTAGCATTATGCAAGATTTTCATAGTTTAATAGTCAGTAGGGTCGGAAGGGACCTAAGCAGATCATTTAGTCCGACCTCCTGCCATGGGCATGAAAGGATGCTGGAGTCAAATGACCCCAGATAGGTGGCTGTATAGCCTCCTTTTGAAGACACCCAGGGTAGCAGCAAGCACCACTTCCCTTGGAAGTTGGTTCCAGCTCCTAGCCACCCTGACAGTGAAGTAGCGCCTCCTGATGTCTAGCCTGAATCTACTCTCAGTCGACTTATGGCCGTTGTTCCTTATTACCCCCGGTAGTGCTCAGGGGAACAGGGATTCTCCCATTGCCTGCTGGTCCCCCTTGGCAAGTTTATGGGTGGCCACCAGATCCCCTCTCAGCCTTCTTTTGTGGAGGCTGAACATGTTCAGGTCCTGTAGCCTCTCCTCATAGGGCCTGCCCTGCTGCCCCCTGATCATGCGAGTGGCCCTCCTCTGGACCTTCTCAATGCTGGCCACATCCCTCCTAAAGTGCAGTGCCCAGAACTGGATGCAGTACTTCAACTACAGCCTGACCAATGTCACATAGAGGGGGAGGATCACCTCCTTGGACCTGCTCATGATGCATCTATGGATGCATGACAAGGTACAGTTAGCCTTCCTGACTGCGTCCCCACATTGGCGGCCCATGTTCATCTTGGAATCAACAGTGACTCCAAGATCTTTCTCTGCCTCTGGGCTTATGAGAAGGGAGTTCCCCAGCCTGTAGGTATGCTGCTGGTTCTTCCTCCCTACGTGCAGTACCTTGCGCTTGTCCATATTGAAACCCATCCTATTCTCATCCGCCCACCTCTGTAACCTGTCGAGATCTAGTTGTAGCCTATCCCTCTCTTCTCGCGTGCTCATTTCTCCCCACATCTTAGTGTCATCTGCGAACTTGAACAAGGTGTTTTTCAGCCCCTCATCCAAATCGCCAATGAAGATATTGAACAGTGAGGGCCCAAGGACCGAGCCCTGGGGAACCCCACTGCCCACAACTCTCCAGGTCAAAAATGACCCATCCACCACCACTCTCTGGGTGCGGCCCTCCAGCCAATTTGAGACCCATCTGACTGTGTAGGTGTCGACACCACAGACACCTAATTTTTTAATGAGAATAAGGTGAGAGACAGTGTCAAAGGCCTTCCTTAAGTCCAAGAAGACTACATCCACCGTGACACCTGCATCCAAGGCTTTTGTGACCTGGTCATAGAAGGCTACCAGGTTGGTCTGACAGGACCTGCCTCTAATGAACCTGTGTTGATTGCCCCTAAGCATAAACTCCCCTGCTGGCCCCTCGCAGATGTGCTCCTGGATAATTTTCTCAAAGAGCTTCCCCAGGGCCAAGATAAGACTAATGGGCCTATAATTTCCAGGGTCCTCTTTCCTCCCTTTTTTGAAAATGGGAACCACATTGGCCCTTTTCCAGTCATCAGGCACCTCACCAGAGTACCATGAGTGCTCATAAAGCTGTGCCAGGTGTCCTGCAATGACCTCTGCCAGTTCCCAAAGCACTCTGGGGTGGAGATCATCAGGACCTGCTGATTTGAACACGTCTAGTCCCTCCAGAAGTACCCTGACTAGGTCCTTACTGACCCTGGGCCTGGCTGCGCCTCCCCTGGGTCCGCCTGGAATCCCAGTGGGGGGGATGTTCCTGTCCCTGCTCAGAAAAATGGAAGCAAAGAATCTGTTAAAGAGATTATCTTTGTCATTTAGTGCTACCACCAGATTACCAATCATGTCCTGCAGAGGCCCCACATTATTTGGCACCTTCTTTTTACCCACTGTGTATTTAAAAAAGGACTTCTTGTTATCTTTGATTTTGCATTTGGTCTGATTATGGCTTGGCATTGTCTATCAGGAATGAAACTAGAAAATGTTCCCAGCTTTGTAGATGGAGGGTGATACTGCTTGTCTTACTTAAATACCACTGAGACACATGGCTATGTGATATATGATATTTTCTGCAGGCTCCTGTGTTTGCAAACTTGATTTTGTGTGTTCATATGCATGTACATGAGAGAGAGAGAGAAAGAGAGAGAATGCAGTGTCTGCCTTTTAACCAAGCACACAGCTTTCTCCAGTACAGATAAGTCTAATTTTGTTTTAGCTGATGACATGTTGAAGTTCTCAAAGACTGCCAGTGTAAAGAGTTACACCTTTTGGCAGGCAGTAAAGCTAAAAGACTAAAAGACTAAACATGTTTGTGCTTATCAAAAGTATTTGAGATATGTTTGAAGAAGTTACGCCAAGTGCTCAATAGCTACCATAACCCAGATTACATAAGAAGGCTGATCAGGTGACAGCAAAAAATGTAAACTATACAGAAGGTTTCATTAAAATAGTCCACATCCTGCCTTAATATGCAACTTTGGTCAACCTATGGAGACCTAACTACAGCTAGACTACCGTCCTTAAAAAGGCTTCACAGTGTGATATATCCCTGAAGCCACTTCTTGATATCTTGTAATTATCTACACAAGCTCAGAAAAAACATCCATGGTTATACTGAGGCTGAGGCTGTCATCATTTATGGAATAAATGGAGAGAAGAAGGAGTGGGGGAGAGGACTAGAAGAGTGATGGTAAATATAAAGCTGTGCATTTTAACACTAAAGGCATAATCCTACTTTATTCTTTTGCATCCAAATCACAGTTATCAATCCATGTTACTGCTGCTGTTTCTCAAAGTTTATGATCCTATTGTGTGTGCACTGAGGAGGAAATTCAATGCATTCCTAACATTTTCTAACCCTCCAGTGTTTTAACAGAATAAACTCCTCCAAGACCATTTTAGGCTGGACATAAGAAAAAATTTCTTTACTGTCTGAGCCCCCAAGACCTGGAATAGACTCCCTCCAGAAGTGGTGCAGGCACTTACTCTGGACTCTTTCAAGAAATGTTTGGATGCTTATCTTGCTGGGATCCTTTAACCCTAGCTGACTTTCTGCCCCTGGGACAGGAGGCTGGACTTGATGATCTTTGAGGTCCCTTCCAGCCCTAATATCTATGAAATCTATAGAAAAAAAAAACCTAGTGGCTAGGGCACTTACCAGGAAGCAGGAAAACCTAGGGTCTGTACAGAAGCGCTCTGTGAACATTTTACAGTGTTGTAATTTAAAGTACTTTGTATAGCACTATAAAGTTACAGCGCTCTTAAACATGACAGAAGTGCAGGTGGGGAGGAAGCCTTTGAGCCGACCTGCACTTTCCAGGCTAGAACGCAGGGGGCTCTTTGAGCCTCCTCTGACTTCTCCACTTGTCAGAAATTTGACTAGCATACAGAAATTATACCTCATTTAACAAGGGTTAATTTAAAGTTCTGTACCCATTACATTGTAAACAAGAAGTAATGGTCTCAAGTTGCAGCAAGGGAAGTTTAGGTTGGATATTAG